AACTAACTCTCATTAGAGTATTAGTAGACTGTCTGATTAATATCTGCTAACTCTTTATTGTCATGGTCTCCCAACAGACATTCTACTGACTATAAGTAACTTTGCAAGTACATGTCAGCTTATTCTAACCCGAACCTTACCAGTCTACTAATACTCTACTAACACTCTTAATGAGAGTTAGTAGATATGTTGGTGCAATGTTACTTATAGTCAACAGAATGTGTTAAACCGGGCTGTTACCGGGCTGTTTAGTTTGGTTTCTAGTAACTGCTGAAAGCTCATAACTGCTCAAACATTTATCATGTTTGAATAGTTTAGATTTTTTTTGAGTAAATGGAGAGTGTCTAATGTCTTAAATCTGTCTGTTTTTGAAAAAAAAAAAAAAAAACATAAAATATGCATAAAAATACAATAGTAAGTTATCTTCAACCAAAGCTGAAAGTCAAATAAGTGTGATACGATTATTAATACAGTTGGGAGGATTTATTAATGAGTATTAATATGTGATGAGTATGTAACTCATATAGTTTTGATGAACATCAAAAAATATTTTTTAATGGATTTGCATCATAAAGCTTATATGTGCATTAATATGATATGATATAATGGGCCAGGCTTAAAATGCAAAACTCAGTTTTATACAATGTCTCAGGCATCCCCTACTCTGTCTTCGTATCCACCAAGGCAGTTGAATCAGTCTGTACATGTTTCATTATCTATTTGTTTTTCATCCTTTGCTGTTTTCATAGGTCCACGACTTCGCATAGTATTGATTGGAAAAACTGGAGTGGGAAAAAGTGCTGTGGGAAACACTATCCTTTGTAGAAATGTTTTTGAATCAAGCCCTTCTGCAAACTCTGTCACTGAGCGGTGCAAAAAAGCAATGGTCTGTGACCAAAGAGAGATTTATGTGATTGACACACCTGGAATCTTGGATACCAGCAAATCAAAAGACCTCATCAAAAGAGAAATAGTGAGATGTATTCAGGTTTCAGCACCAGGTCCTCATGTGTTCCTGCTGGTGCTACAGATTGGCCGTTTCACTACTGAGGAGCAAAGATCAGTCCAGGCCCTGCAAGAGCTCTTCGGACAAGAAGCTTCAAAATACATGATAGTGGTCTTCACTCATGGAGATGCACTCAATGGCCAAACAATTGAAGACTATGTGAAAAACGGCCATGCAGAACTCCGTAAAGTCATCCAGAGTTGTGGTAGTAGATATGTTGTTTTTAATAACACTGGCAGGAATAATCGAGCTCAAGTGAGTAGATTAATTGTGAAAATTGATGAAATGGTGGCAGTAAATGGGGGAGAATGCTTCACTCAGGAAATGTTTCAAGAAGCGGAAGAAAAGATTCAGCAACAGAATGTGGAGAGAGTGGCCGCAGAGCTACTGGAATATCAGTTTAGCTTTCTTGGGATTCTTGACGACAGAGTTGCTTTGTTCCAACAAGTATTGATGGAAGGCATTCGCGAACAGTTCAGCATTTACGGTTACTAAAGAGACTTAAATCAGACATCTTAGAAAGATGTGTAATATGAAAACTACTTCTGAACATAAACACAACTCATTTATGTGATGTTACACAGTTGTGGAATATGATGTTATTCGACTCTCCAGCACATAGCATAATGAATAATTACACATGGAAGCTTGTGAATCTAATATGAAGGCACTGTATTCTATAGCACTTTTTGGTTTCTGAATTGTTTTTAGAGACTTTATTTATACTAACACGTTCATGATATGTCTAAACTACTGAGACCTTTGATTTAAATACTAAGTTTTAAGACTTTTTAACCCGATACAGCAGATATTACCAATCAATCCAATTCAAGCAGGGACTCCACTAGTAAGTGTAATATTTGTACATATATAGTGATTGTATACATTAGATTAGCAGTTAATTATATGCCTGATGTACTGTAATTACTTACATCAAAATCATGAAAGAAAAGTGTCTTTATAAAGGTTGACATTAATATTCCACTGTCTTTACAATTCTTTCTTCATGAAGATTACATTTCTTAAGAGTAATCTGAATAATAATGTATAACATTTGCATATTCATTTTAAGACATTGAGAACAGTGGGATAAACAGTAGTTTTTCCATTGTCTTTTAAGATATGCTAAGAATCAGTTATCCTCTGTAAAATTGTAAAAGTGTTAAATACAAGTAAAATGTTTATACTGTGAAAGCTCTGGATGTGTTTATATATAATGTATTAGAATTTGGCATATTAATACATTATTTTAATTTTTCCTTTATTTTCCAACATTATTATTATTTTTGCATAGCACGTCCCTTTTTGACCATTAAAATATATATATATATATATCTAAGAATTTTTTGGCATTTGACTGGGTAGAAAAAAATTGCATTTGTACATTTATGCATTTGCCACACCTTTTTATGCAGCTTAATTTGCATTCAAGGTGTTTTTTATTCAAGATATATTTGATCAGTTCACACATGAACACATTTGACCTTTTGAGTTCCACCTGGCTGGAATTTCCTGTTAGTTCTTAGAAAACATGTTTTTAACCTTTGTGTTGTGCTGTAAATCCTTTACCTAATTTGGTGTTCCCGGGCAAAAATTACTGGCCTTTTAAAATTGCTTGTACAACCCCAATTCCAGAAAAGTGGGGACATTTTGTAAAATGCAATAAAATCAAGAATCTGTGATTTGTTAATTCTCTTTAACTTTTATTAAAAAAGTACAAAGAAAAGATTTCACTGACCAACCTAAATGTATTTTGTAAAAGACGAATTTTGATTTTGAAGGCTGCAACACACTCCAAAAAAGTTGGGACAGGCAAAATAAAAGTGAAAAGGTTATAGAATATCCAAGTTAAACTGTATTGAAACAGTTCACAGCAAGC